AGAAAGTGATTGACTGTGATGTAGGCAAATGGGTTGGTGGGTAAAAAGCCTACTACAGAAGCACGAGGACCTGACCTTGGATCCCCAACACCACCATAAAAGCCAGCTCCATGTCTCCTTACACAGGACTAGGGGAGCAAAGACAGAAGAGGATCCGCAGGATTCACTGAGCAGCAAGTGTAGTCAAACTGGTGAACTCCAAATTCACTGAGGGTCTCTGACTTGAAAACTAAGGTGGAGATTAATAGAGGAAGACAGATAACATGGACCACTGGCCTATACTCAAGTGCATATACATGTGCACACACATCCATATACCACATGAGCACACACTCATACACACAAAAGGAGAGTGGATGACTGTAGTCAAAGTGTGCCTCTAATAATTCTGAAGGAAAATAAATTATACATAATGTTTATATTAAAATGTCTAAGAAAATATTTAGGACATAGTTTGTGCCTCATCAGTATACAGAGTGACTGATTTATGATTCTGTGGAAGTTGGTGCTTGCAGTGATTTATGTGAGGATATAGGGGGCTTGCTTTTGGAATGTTTAATTTTTATGTATTTTCTATCATTGTTCATTTATTCTAATATTACCCAAAGTTGTGTTTATAATATTAACTCACAATGTTATTGAATGACATGTAATACTAAATTACTTTATCATGAGTGTATATATATATATATACATATATATGTGTGTGTATATATATATATATATGTATAAAACTTAAGTAATTTTCAGGTAGTTGTATTCACTTGTAACTTCTCTACCCTTTAATTTTGAAGTATTTTGTATTTGGGGAAGTGAAAGCTACTGAGTCAATTAAAATGGATGAAGTCTTAAACACTTCCTCCTAACATTCACAAGACATGAATTCATTGAACACTAAGAACAGCATTATTTATTGGTCTTCTTCATTAACATATGTTCTCTGATCTTGACTTAAGTATATGTTGACAGAAACATTATTTTAATTATTGGCGCACAATCCTGACGAGTTACATGTCTAATCTAGGCATTCTTCATGCGTACTCAATCAACCATGTGACAGAAACTAGGGCAGAGTAACCAAAGTGGCATTTGAAAATTTATGGTTAAGTTTAATTTGCATATGTCAGTAGTCAAATTATAGAAAAAGTGATAATTGAAGTCATACTAGAGTAAGTGCTGCAGTCAGTATGAACTGTTCACTGATCATAGTAGGTAGTCAGTGCAGCTGTTTTTATTTAAGATCCACAAAATGCCAATATGTTCAGGTCTAAGTAAAGGGGTTATTTGCAGATCTTTCTTCCCCATTAGCATATGAGTAATATAAGCTACCAACAAGTCATGCTGATCAGAAAATAACCTTCGTGATTATCTGTTTCCATAACTGCTCTGATTTTCATAATATTAAACTTTGAGGTAAGAGGATTAGAGGAAAAATTTAATAAGTTCAGCTTTAGAAGAACCATTCTGAGTCTCCCTTTTATATATATATATTTTTTATTCATTATTTTTAGTGTATTGTCTGCATGTAGGAAAGTACATCCATGCAATGCCCATGGAGTTCAGAAGAGGGCATCAGATACTGGGTATCTGATGGTGGGTACTAGGAACCAAACCCAGGTCCTTTGCAAGAGCAGCCAATGCTCTTAACCACTGGGCCATCTCTCCAGTCCCTCTGAGTCTCACTCTTGTGTTATCAAGATATTGTTGACTTTCACCCCCTCCTCTTTCAAAAGTAGTCAGTCAGCCTTAGGAGGAAATAGGCAATGGGAGCCTATTAGCCAGAGCCTCATGTCTATTGACCTTGGAGGTTGTAAGAAACTCTGCATCACCTGATAGAAGGGATTGCATATTCCAGACACTACTTAAAAATAATATGACAGTGATTTATGGATTAAGTGAATTCTTTTTACTTATGATATCTTTGCTTACATGTTTAAAAAACAACTGTTGTCTTTACTGATAGATGATAAATATATATGGGTGAATTTATAGACTTTGTAGGATGTGTTTCAGAGTCATTTGGAAACTCAGGAAGTTTAAAGGCACAGAGGAAGCTAACCAGACATGGATTGATTACTATGGAAGTTAGGACAGTATATGCACATTATTATACTTTTGTCTTTAACTTTGTTCAATTGTCTCTGAGGTTTAAATTGTGTATCTTTATTGTCCACTTAGGGCTCAGCACAGCTTCCAATTGTTCCTCATTCTGGACATAGAAAACATGATCTCTCACACCTTACATATGGAAAATGTGCTTATTCAAATTGCCGGTTTATTTTATTTTTGGTCTTTTTATCAGTGTAGATTAATAATACATAACAGGTTTCATTATGAAATTTCATTTTTTGATGTATTTTTATTGAGTTTTTGTGGATTTTATACATCTTAATCATATTTACCACCTCCTTTCCCTATCTGCACCCTCCCCATAGCTCACCCACAGGACTTCATACATTTTGCATATGTGTAAAAGCCTTTCAAGTCAGGTTTGTGGACTTCAGTGTCCCTGTATGTGAGTTCATCCACTGGAAGCCTGTTCAGCCTGTCTAGAGTTACTCCCTTAAAGATCAGCTCTCCCTCACTTATCAGTGGTCAGGTGCCAGTAGTTCCTCACCAAAGTTGTGTCCTCCTATTTCCCAAGTTCTATTTTGGTTTTTTTCTAATTGAGTTTTGATCAGTCCAGTTTAATATAGGGCTATAACACCAATGTAGACACACAGTATGGGTTTTTACTTTTAAAGTAAGGCATTTTGTCCAGATAATAACATATATTGACTATTCTCTGAAGTTTAAAGTTCTTTGTATCAAATGACACTAGATAGGTTATTTCTTTTAATTTTTTCTGTGTTACAAATTTATCAGAGTAGGACTGGAGAGATAGTGCAGTGGTAAAGAGCACTAGCTGTTCTTGCAGAAGACCCAACACCCACATGGTTTGAATCCCAGACCCATATGGTGTCTAAGAACTGTCCATAACTCCAGTTCCAGGAGATCCAACACCCTCTTCTGTCCTCTGCGGGCAGAAAACACATAACATACATGCAGGCATACTTAGCACTGATACACATAAAATTTTTTAAAAATGGCATGGGGGAGGGGGCCTAAATCTGATTAAGAATTGTTGTATGAAATGTACAAAAGCTCAATAAAAATGTAACTTTTTAAAAATATTAGAAGAAAATTTTTTTTAATTCAAAAATTCTTTAAAAATTATTGAATTTAAAAAAATAAAGCGATTACTCAAAATACAGGAATTCAGTCTTTTTTTTTTAGAAGAAGTATTTCATTATACCTTTAATGTATTCAGTAACACACTCCAGAGCAAAGATGCATCTCTTTCAAAAGTGGCTGTAAATTTTTATGTTCAGTCTTATTTTTATCATGTGTGAAATTATGGGTGTTCTAACATTTAAGGTTATGTAATGTCCAGTGAACTTGAACAATACCACAGCTCAAACATTTCACCATTCCAAGATTTTCTTAAGATTATATAAAACAAGATGAATAAGAGAATGTTTCAGTTCTTTATATTTAGTTATTCAAAGACTTTCTTTTTCTTTTTCTTTGATAGTTTACATTGCAAAGAGGTATTTGTTAATCCAAGAGAAGTTAAAAGAAACTGTAGGGCAATATTTTCTGCCATAAAATGGTATTTCTCTAGTAAGAAGGGAGCAGAGACTTATTCTGTAATATTTATATACTTATAAGTACATAAGTATGTGTGTGTGTGTGTGTGTGCGTGTGTGTGTGTGTAAAGGCCTATAGAGTCAAACTTGTGTCCTTAAATGCCCTTTGGTGTGGATCCATCCACTGGAATCTGGTCAACATACCAACAGTCCCACACTTAAAGCAGACTGACTCTCCTGCCATTGTTTGTCAGTAGTCCTTAGGTGGGATTGGGGTTTCTTACCTACCTCCCCACATCCATGCTGAGATTTTTGTCTGTCTTGAGCTTAAATGAGACTTCTGTATACTGTCACCATTGCTGTGAGTTCGTATGGGTAATTGTTCAACTGTTTGGAAAACTCTCTTTCCTATGCTCATCTACCACCTGTGGTCCTTGAAATATTTTCTCCTCCTTTTCCATAATGATCTTTGAACCTTGGGAGACAGAAGTTTGACATAGGTGTCTTTTCAAGGATAAGCCTCTAATTCTCTCAGTGTTGGCCAGTTGTGGATATCTGTGTTAATCACAATTTGCTGCATAAGGAAGCTTGTTTAATGAGAGTTGAGAGATGCATTAATTTATGGGTATAACAATAAATCATTAGTAGTAGGTTTAATACTATATCCATTTAGCAGAATAATAGTAATATGTTCTTCCCTGTAACCTGTGGCCTGCCTAGCCACAAGTTCCTAAGTCTGATATCAGTGTCAGTTATGGACTCCACCTTATGAAGCAGACCTTGAATCCAATTTTAAAGTAGTTGCTTACTTCCATAATATTGATGCCATTATTGCACTAGTGGGCATATCTTACCAGGCCAGTTGTTTTAGCTTGCAGGATTCACAACCGTGGATGGGTGATGGATTAATTTTATCATCTGGTAGCATGCATAGCACCTTCCACTGCTATAAAAACTAGCCCGTAGAAATGAAGCTTTGTAGTCAGTACCAGATGGATTTCTCCTTTTTTTTTCTACAGCCCATGTACATAGTATCTTCACCAATAGGACGACCTTACTGCCAAATTCTTTTGGGTAAAAGAGTAGAGGCAATGTCAATACTGTTTAAGGCTCAATGGGACCCTTGCTGAACAGCTTCAGAAATGTGAGTCCATTCCTGGCATTGGGCTTTAACTTGCTAGCCTATGGTGTCCAATAGGGTCAGTGTCCCCCTGTTATAAGCTAATTTCTTTTCATCCCTTTCTAGATTCTTCAAGACATCTCTCCCCTGCTTCCTACCCCCAAAACTGTTTTGTAACTTTATCCAGATGCTGTCATTGATATTTCAGATTGTTTTGAACAGGGACCAATCAGTTTGTTTTCTTTGTTTAGGAGTCCGATGGCCAGGGCTGCCCCTTCTGCCGTTGTGAGATAAAAGGAACTGAGCCCATAATTGTGGACCCCTTCGACCCCAGAGATGAAGGTTCCAGGTGCTGCAGCATCATCGACCCCTTTAGCATGCCCATGCTGGATTTGGATGATGATGATGATCGAGAGGAGTCCTTGATGATGAACAGGCTGGCTAGTGTTCGAAAGGTAACTCAGAATAATCTGAGTGTTGTTAGGTCATGAATAAATTAGTCTTAAATGGAATATTTGTGTATTTGATTGGGGAACAAAAGATTCTCAATTTAAAACTAAGGTTAAAGTATTGGTTTTGAAAAGCACAAAATATGATAGAGTAAAGGAGGACTCTGCTATCAAGGTGGCCATGCTGGTTATAAACCTCATGACAGGGAGTGAGAGTCTTTATATAGAATTAAACATCCAAGAGTGTTATCAACACATGTGAAGAAAAACTGAAGAAAGGAAGTTATTAAATATGGATGGAAATCATAAGGCTGAACTTGATTAAAAATATATTTCATTAAATCTAGAAGTGCCTGATAAATCTATTTTTTTAGCAGGCATGCCATCCTGGTGTTTGATTTATAAGAAGCCACCTCTGACGTATCTTTGTGAATTTACCATAATCTGGGGTTTGTTTATTAACATTGCTTATTCAGAAAGCTGATGTCAGCTAACTGAAAATGGATGCCACTGTTCACTGGCGTTTATGCACAAAAGAACCAGAATGCCAGTTGAAGAATTTAGAAATTGGAAATAGAGTGGTAGATAGACTCCTAGGTATCAGGTTACTTGTATAGAAATACACATACAATTCAGATGACATATTGAGAAGTTTTATACTGTGAAAATCAGAAATGTGCTTGATTGTTATGAGAGGGTTTGCAGTTCCCCCTGACTCATGCCTGTGTGCGTGTGCTATATATATTGCCAGACAGGAGAAACCTTTCTTTGAGTTTTTGGTCAGGGTAGTCCAAGAGAGTCCCAAAATAACACAGGCTATTGTTACAGTCCTGGTTGCCTCCCTGAACCTGAATATAAGAATCTGTTGTTGAAGACAGGGCATACTTTGGACATGAGATTTGGAGCAATGCAGTTAGAACTGACCTAAAAGCCTCCTTCCTGAAGACGAGTTCTCATAGTATCATAGGGTACTATCTAAGGTGCTAAGGGAATAAAATCAATCAGTAGTCCAACTACAGCTCTAAGGCCTAATATCCAAAACAGTGACCTGTACAGCAAACTATCGCTATTGGTGCAGTAGTGAAACGTTATCTTGGGGGCAATCAACAACTGTTTAATTGGACTTAAAGCCCTCTCAATGGGCAGGAACTCCCATGTAGCACTGTAAACATAGCCAAATATGCATGGCTGAGGAGGTCATAGATTGTAGAGAAAAGCCTACTTTTGTTACATCCCTAGGAAAAGGTAATTTCTTACTCTATACTAAATATATATCCCTATATTTTTTAACAGATGGAGACTATTAAAGAGTTCCACAACTGGTCAAAGAGAACAGGAGGGGACCTAGGCCCAATGCAAGGATGGGAACAGCTCGGGGAGGGTCTAATTAGCTAAGCAGAGTAGATGAGAGCCCTGGAGCAGGACGAATAGAGCTGGTCCCAGACCAGGGGGATCAAGATCCAGTGGGTGGGCTCTGGATTATGAGTCTAGTCTGGAGGTTCTATGCAGAAGGGGCAGGAAGAGGAACCCTAAGGCCAGGGTGGAGGTGGGGACAAGGTGTGGGCAGTCTAACTAGCTGAGCAGAGTAGATGTGAGTACTGGAGCAGCTAGCATGTCTTGCTATAATTTTTATCTAGACCTTTAAGAAAGTATGCAGCCCAAGGAATAGGAGGCAGTGTACATTTAAAAAAATATTTATTGAATGCGTGGGTAACCTAGAATGGCAGAAACTTATATGAGAAGCATGCATAGTTTGAATGGTTCAGGTGCTAATGCTTTCTAGCTAGAAAAAAAAGCATTTTCAATTTTCCTTACTAAATGAAGTTTATTTCTGCCCTCCATAAATGGGTGGGAATTGTGGTTCTAAGAATCATTCTTTCACAAATTTTGTAGGCCTTGCTACTTGGGAAAGGAAAAGAAATATTTGCACTATATCAGTTTGGGAATAGCTGCAGTCCTGGCCTGTTTCCATTGAAATAAGGTGAAGCTGGTGCCTTTTGAGTAGTAACTCTGCTAACAAAAGCAGAGGCAGAGAGATCAAGGTGAGGGTGGGCCTCATTTCCACCCACTACCATCCTAACATGTGGCATTCTTTGACACATTGTGATCTTTCTGTCAGGAGATGAGACAGGCAGGATTCACTTGGAAATTCTTGCCCCAGGGGCTAGACAGATAGCTCAGTGGTTAAGAGCGCTGACTGCTCTTGCAGAGGACCTGGATTCGAATCTCAACACCCACATGGCACCCAACAACTGTCTGTAACTCCAGTTCCAGGGGATTTGGTACCTTCTGACCTCCACAGGCATTGCACGACACGGGTGAGCTTACACACATTCAGGCAAACACCCATACACATAAAATAAAAATAATAAAATAAAATATTATAA